GACCATCAGTATATCAGTGTATTATTTGTCAAAAACGAAGCTTCAAATAAACAAAATTTTTGTTTCTTTTTCCGATTCATTTCTGCATGTAGAATCAAACGGGCCATGGAGACCATCGGTTGGATCTCATATACATGCCAGACCTGAAGTGACCCAAGAGTAACACGCCAATATCGGGTTCCTCCCCGGGCGTACTCTTTAAGCCAACACAGGGTCAAACGCGGGTTGATTTCCCCGTTAGTTGGACCATGTCCGTTTCATTGGTAAGATGATGATATAAATTCGCACTCAACGCCTGCCAATATAGTTGAAATGGCTGAGGAGTGGTATATGCAGCGCATAGCGCAATGTAAGCTTAAGAAACAATACTTACATGTAGAATCACTCCCTTCCCGTTGTACTACTTCCCGTTGGGACACCCTGTATAAGTAAGATCTAGGTGACAAAATTTTCCGATCAACCTAATATTTTTATAACATTTTTCATAGCAGAATGCGCATTAGGATGCTTTTTGCTTTTCAATATCCGAATCTTCTTTCTCAGCCTCCATATTACTATTATTGATAAATCATGCGTAATTCAAACATTACTTCTCTCTCGTTGTTTTTCCTCACTGAATCATGGAATAATACTTGATTACGTGAAATTCTATAAAATTAAAATATTAGAATTCCTGATTAATACTTATGTCAATATCCAAAATTCTCAATATCGTTCTATATCCAAGGTACTATAACAAGATACTTGTGTGACGAATTCAAGTATTAAAAATAATAAATAAATCGATTTCTGAGAATTAACACTTACATCATAAGTGCATATAGTTCGGGACTTTCCTGGCCATTATCACTAAAGTGCGGAGTTTATGCATAAGAAGAAAACACGCATAGTATAACAATACACATGCATGAAATTAGTGGAAAGCGATTATTACAACGAATTAAAGTATTTTTTAAAGTAAAAGTAATAATAAAATCTGATAAAAATGTATTGACTATTTAAAAAATTATCATACTGTGTAAAAATACTGAATTCAATTTCTCAAGTTATTTTCAACGTATAACTTCATTGAACGAAATAAAATAATAATTTCGTTGTATACGCCGTTTTGTTTTTCGTCTTTTTATCATTCTGAAATATTTCATATTTATACAATAAAGAAAATTTTGATGATGTGGGCCAATTTTCCACTTTTTCAAATGATCGAATGGGTTAGTAATTAAGTAATGTCAGCCAATGAACTAATTCTCTGCAACTATCATGTACTGTGCACAGTTGAGAAGATAGCTAGCGGAAGAAATCCAAGTATAATTTATTATATAGGATTATATTCCTTACCATAATTATAAAGATAGCATAGTAAAGGAAGTACACGAATTTTCTTTAATGTCTGAAAATTCTCACACTTATGAGTAGGGTCACATGAACAGATTGATAGATGAAGGAAGTGATAGAAAACAAAATGTTAAATACATATCAATGTATGGGTAGTTTAAACGCATAGCACACTTGTAAAATTAGTTGACCCTAAAAATATTGTACAAGTATTCGTCTTTCGAAATAATAATTTAAGATATTTAGATGTAGATAAGATAAGAGATTGGGTGTCAAAAAGCAATGTATTATATCAATTTGAAGTGGATTCTTCTTTTGCTGGGTGTTGTTGACATTGGCTGTTATTATTATTACGAAAAGTTCGAATTATTTCAAGTGTCCAAGATATTAAACAGACTTCAGTGATAGTAAATTAGTAGTAAATATATATTTAATATTTAACGAGTGAAATTGAGATATGAAGTCAATCAAGAATTTTTGTCATTTTACTGCTTGATATTAATTCTTCGTGATTCATGTTATACCCTAAAATACGATTTCAAGTTTTCCTTTATTTTCGTATTCTCTTGTTCAATAACATATTTACGTTGGCCTATTTCTGACAAGATATGTAGCAACGCAAATAGAGAATGAAATGGAATATCAAGAGCAAATTGACAAACACAGGTCTTCAAATATCGATAACGATATTGAACAAAATATTATTTTTCGTAACAAACGAAAAGCATCATGCTATATGTATACCATAGTATCAATTATTGTGATACTGTAGTTTACGAGAATAATAAAATTAACACTAAACCTATCATGGTCAAATGACCGGTGAATGGAAAAGAAGCAGAAGCTGTAAAAAATGAATAACGTTTGAATTCTTCACTGAATTCTGGCGGATCGTAAATCCGCAATTACGCTTTGTCAATGTTGCCTGCCAAATTAATATTGAGAAATCAGTTTAATGATCGCGAGCAAGAAGAATGGCTAAGATATGTCGAACGCTAGACTTCAACCGAGTGAATCCCGACGGTATCAATATGTAGCGACCATCATTCTCACCTTCGCCACTAGATGGATTCTGACTTTGAGGACTTTCCCGCAAGTCCTTGGAGAACCTCCTGTTCCTATATATATATATATATAACTCCCAATAGTGTAAGGCAGGGCCTGCTAGGGTAGCCTTACTGATTGAGTCCACTAGCAGACCCGGGATAAAATGCATCCCTTCCTTTTCCTATTGCCCCTTGTGGTTACATTACCACATGGAGGATACCTGCGACCAGCACAACATCAAGGACCGTGAGGGAAGGTTCCCATAAATGTTTCACGAGAAATTTAACACGTTCCGTGCCAAGCCCTTTTTGCCTGACAAGATCAAGTTTAACGTGTACCACCGGTGGTACACGTGGCACGGAACGTGTAAGGATAATCGAACATTAAATAGTCAGACAACGTGAGAGCTGAAAGACGTAAAAACGACTGACTCCTCGATTTTCCGAGTGATCGAACTGAGGAAAATCAGGAATTCGCTGAAAGACTAACGGTGCCCTGATTGTCTAAATGGATCAAGGGCGTTTTCTCGGCCCGCGAATCGGTCACTTTAAAAAGGGGAATGAAGATCACCCGCACGTAGATGACATTGTTGAAAATGATCGCGTGTGGAATATAACCGTTTATGGCCTCATAGCTCGTCGAAGTGTAAGGGTACCATGCACGTGGACTTGTGCTGACCTCCCGCAGGCCTCTAGTTGGCCAAATCCCAAGTGTCGTCGTTTAACCTTATTGAAGGAGGGTCGCATTGCTTCGAATGCCGGGGACCAGCCGAAACAATAAACAGGAAGTTTTCCAACGATACGAAACGGCGATATAGTACGTTAGAAAATTCCGATGTTCTTGTCATTTGGGCACTTAGGATTTAACTGTTGGAGGACCGCAAAGGGGTCTTTCGAGTCGGTTTTTGTTCCACGACGGAACAGCGGAAGACATTGAGAAAATGATTATAGGAATATTGGAAGAAAAATTGCGGAGATGAGTAATTCAGGTGAAAACGTGGAACGGCAAATTTTTAATGATAGTTTGGAAAACGGTGATTTAAATCATGGTAGGTTTAGTGTTAAATTAAATTACACGTGTGGTCAATATTCTTCATACGTGTATCGCGATACCAATATTAGCTATTTAGAAAGTCAACGTCTCATGGTGTGTGTAAGCTTGTTACACATTCTTGTATCGTATTACTTCTGCATTATTTAATGATTCATTATGAGTTCGTCACTACGTATCCATATCAAAACAGATGATGTTGGAGCAGAAATAGGCGTCTTATCCATATCAAAACAGATGATGCTGGAGCAGAAATAGGCGTCTTATTCATATCAAAACAGATGATGCTGGAGCAGAAATAGGCGTCTTACTAGGTAATACAATACTCTTTGTTCGAGTTAGTTTAGCTGGATATCATATTATTTCTTTAACATAACGAGAAAAAATCAACAAATAACAAATCCGTTTTCTTATGTATCTTTGTGTCAAATTTGAACTCCTCAGGATGCACTACTTGGTCATTCACGTTGATGATAGCGAACGATGAATAGCGAAATGAAAGCGGGATAAACAAAATGATTAGTACGAAATTATTTCGTAGAATTATAGTTGCATGAGGTTGTAAATTTGGAATTGATTCTTAAAAATAGTCTATGGGAAAGTTCAATTCGTTTAAATATTCGAAATATTAGACAGAATTTGATGCTAGTGAATTGGTGATGAGCAATAATTAATGAACTAATTAAAATATTTGAAATTGAAAATTAGTTAACAGTTTTTTTCCCTTTTTATTATGTTACTTAATACAATAAACTGGAACTAACATACCAGTCAAAATGAATGGTTTCGAACTTTTAATTCTTATACTTACCAAAAACATGGAGCTATATTTAGTAAAAAATCATGATGTACACCTAATTATTTTCGTTGCAATACTGTAATTATTGTTATCTATGCATATAACACTTAGACATTATACACAATATATCAATCATCGGTAAAGAATGTTCAGAAGGATATTGGATATTGACATAAGTTGTGCAGCTTAGTATGCTATCAATTACATATTAACCAATGCAATTTGTTTTGGTTATACGATACATTAGTGTCTGAAATAAGTTATTTATTAAAACAAGTCATTATTGAATACGAAATATGTATATCATATATATAAATAATATAAATAACACTTACAGATGCAATCATAAGAATATTTAAAAAAATATTCAAAATATTCAATATTAATTTCACTCTTATACCCTGTATTTTGAACATATAATAAACACAGCAGATGTATTACATTATACGTTAAAGTATAGTTATAAATAAAATATAAAAATATAAAGTATAATATTTATTATAATGATAGACAAATAAGTATATGGAGTAGGCAAAATGAAAAAGTAAAACTAAATGAAAACACGAATCGAAATATTTTTGTGACTAATTGTATTTTTACATTGTCTATCATAATAGTAAATGAAAATAATTTCATTATGAATATTTAATATTTAACATTTCTTCATTTAAAATCATATCATAGGATCTTTTATAACTTTTATTCATTTACAGTCACAGAGTTATGTTATAATAGAGTAATACATATATTTTATTGCAATTTTTAACAGAATATAGTGGCCTGCGGCGCTGGTTTCGTCGATGGTCTAGGTTTAGGTGACAATACAAAGGCCGCTGTTATCAGATTAGGTCTTATGGAAATGATTAAGTTCGTGGACGTCTTTTTCCCTGGTGGAAAACTTTCTACGTTCTTTGAAAGTTGTGGTGTGGCAGATTTAATAACCACTTGCAATGGTGGTCGTAATCGTAAAGTCTCTGAAGCTTTTGTAAAAACTGGCAAGGTCAATTTTATTACTCAGATTATCACTATACATTAGTTAATGTTAAGTAGAATAAGTGGAAACGATATAAAAATTAATAGAATTTTGAAAATAAATCAGATCTTAAATTAGAATAACGTGGTAGGAGAAGCTTAAGAGTCCCAGTTACTGCTGAAGGCTGTTTGCATTGACAGATAATAATTTAACGATTCTGGACCTGTGGTATGCATACCACTGGTGGTACGTGACTGAATCAAATTATATAAAATTTTTTAATTATTTACAGTGGAGTATGACACTACTTGTACAGTGATACATGATTCGATCAAACATTGGTTAATCGTATGCAAAGAAAAAGATGGAGAACCGGTAGTTTAACTCATGGCCCAGTTATATCGTTCCCACAAATTTTATATAATATTAGAATATTAGAATATTACACTCAACCCTGCTATAACATGGTCAATTCGATCATGTTTTGTCGAAACCTATTAATCCCTAGGGTCACAACTTAATTATGAAAAACCATGCATTGAAAAATATTTAATTTCAGTTGTACGATATTTTTAAGACTTGCACTCGCTTTATATATGTTAAGTATAATTTTAAACGTGCAACGAGTATATCTGGTGATTGCGTGGTTTGGTTTGAAAAATTAACGACAAGTTGGGCTTGTTAATGTAATGCAAATGGTTGAACGAAACTTAAGAGGGAAGTCATCTAGATGAATAATTAGTTTTAACACAAAAAAATTTGATATTCGGTAGAAACATGGTGTCAATAGTTGAAATTATTACCATTCTGAATTAGTTATTTCCATTCCAAATTAGTTATTGAGCTTTTCTACATTTTCTATCAAAACCACTCCTTTCCATTTTTAAAGAGAGGGGTGATCTGGGACACTCTGTGTACTGGAAATATTCATGGTACAGTAAGTGGCAAAATGATAATACACCGTATGATTTTCAGTTCTTGCAAGTAATGTATAATAATATATGTATATATGTAGATTTTACGAACATTAAAGTATCCTTAATATTATAGAAAAAATTAATTTTTTTCTACAAATTTGATCTATTTATGTAAAAAATATATGCGACAAAATAATAACATAGGTACGAAAAAAACAGGTAAACGAAGTTTTATTATTTTAGAATAAAAAGATTTCTTTTGTATTTTCGTGTGCTGAATCCAAATTTAGTCGTAAAAATTGCCTATTATGTCAGATTTGGTAGATAAATGCATATAAAATCGATTTGTGTTATATTTGCAAAATAATCCAAAGATAGTAAATTTTTTGAATATTTTTGTCAGTACCATCGTATAATACTAAGCTTCTCTTATAAAATTAAATTTATTTTATAATCATATGCTTTTTTCTGCCGAGATATACTATTGTATTTTGAAATTATTCGAGAAATATTGAAAATCGTAATTGAAGTTTGTTAAGTCGTATTATAAGTGTATAATCGTATTATACTATTGCAATTTTTGCATTATGGTATATCAAGACTGTGTTTTCCGAATATCGTGTTATAAATGGGTTGAGTGTATAATGTTACATAAATAGATAGTATAATTTGCAATATAGAAAATATGTGTAACTGTATATTATATATAATACATAGGAAATAATGTAATAATTATACATTTATTATAATGTAATAATTATATATTTTACAGAATATCGAGGAGTTGGAAAAAGAAATGTTGAATGGACAAAAGTTGCAAGGTCCGTTTACTGCGGAAGAGGTAAATTACATGTTAAAATCGAAAAACATGGAGAACAGGTTTCCTCTTTTCACGGCCGTACATCGGATTTGTACTGGTGAGATAAAGCCTACGGAACTAATTGAATGCATACGCAATCATCCAGAGCACATGTAAGCTTAATTGTCTCCACTATAATTAATGGCGGACTAGTCTAAATATCTGACTTTTATCTTAGAACAATTATGAAACTATGAATATTTTATTTGATATATTGTAAAATTAATTTTTCGGAGCTAAAATATGTCAGCACTGTTACGTTCAAATTTAGAAATTCAGCGATAAATGTTGCGTAAATATGTAATATTTACTAAATCTAATTCGCATCTTACAAGGTACAGGATTTAAACTTTAGTTTATTTTAAAATCGATATTTTACAGTATATTTCTTACTGTAATATTGATTGATCTGTTTTACCATGGTCCTATTATGTAGTTACATGTTCCATTGTATGTAAAGACAGTTGGTAGATCTGTAAAAAGTACCTAAATACTAACATGATAATATGTATAATGTATATAACACATGTACATATTTGTAAATGGTTGTTATGTGCGTTAAAACTGAAAGAATTATGTATGTTATTTTCTTATATGCACATATACATGATGAAATGTTTGACTTCTATCAAATAAAACGTTTTTTGTTTTAATGAATAAAATAAAGCATTATCTATAATTACATTTAAAAGATAATAGTTTAGTAAAAGAAGCATAATATATTTTTTTATACATATACATATATATTTTAAAAATAACATAAACATTTTATCCTATATTCCTATAACAGAATGATAACTTAAGGCAATAAGACATGAAACAAAGTTAAAATGTATTTTAACATCTTTTATTCATTTTATGATCTTTTTAAAGTCATCTTGATATTTGGTGTACTATTATATTTTATTGACAAAAGTGAAAGAAATCTATACAGTATAAACAGCAACATTATTAGGTACCTCATTTTACATGTATTGTATGTCTATTGCTTTTTCTATATAGGGGTGTTGCGAAATTCTTTTATAAATCAACAAAAATTAATATTTTCATCAATTTTCATAGAATATGTATCACATTTGATTATATTATAATTTAATGTTTTAAAATTTCACTTCATCTTGCAAGGGGATATAGAAGTTTATAAGGCAGTAAGAAATAAGAATGTGCATACACTATTAATTACAAAATGTTATTTATTTCTGATAAATACTTGATAAGATCAGTGTTTTCACATATTGTACATCAAAAAGGATTAATTATTGATATAGTTATTGTTGCTCTTAATTGTTGCAGGATTAAATATTGATACATCTGCTACAGAACAGCTCTGATAACCATTCCAATTCAAGTAGAATTTTGATCACATTATTCCAGGCTATACTTTCTCATCCTTTCTGTTTTCTATTCATTACCACATGTCCCATTTATACTGTGTCTTCCCTCTAGTGCATTGATTACTTTCTGGACCTCCTGCATTATCTGCCAATGTGTGATACATGATGTCGTCGCTATAGCTGGATTCAACTCTGATGGATATTTGCTATGTGTTAATTGTTTTGCTTCCCATATTGTCGAAATACCATCTGATTTTATGTACGTTACTCATCGTAGTCCATAGTTTTGCAACCCTAATTGTCAACGTTAGCAGTTTTACGAGCACTGCGGGTCAGAGCTTGTCCTTTCCCTTCTACTTAGCGTATGCGTTGAGTACATTCTGTATCGATATGTCAACAAAGCTGTCCAATGTAATGCCGGTCCAAGCTGATCTATCTACTGTCGTTTAAATTACAACGGAGTACCATGTTTTCTCTTTTCCTGACATGAAATCCGTGGCTCCAGATCTGTAGACCCCAAATATATGAAAGGGCTATGTGCAACATTCCATCTGCTCACCTAAATTTCAGAATCCTTTTGTCCTATACACGTAGATTCTGCCATCCATGACACAAATGTCAATCTCTAATGTGTTGTGTGAGATTTCTAAGTTATCTTTCAGTCCAAGTGAACTTTAGTGCATTAATGACCTGTCTAACCTGTTATCGTCGTAGTTCCCAACTTGCTTGAACGTCTCAATAGATTGTGTTTCACCCTCCCCTCAGTGCATCCTTGTTATAAGAAAAGTATTTTACTGACAAAAAGAGTTAAGAAACTAGTGTTCAAGTAAAAAAATTTACCCATAACACAAATATCTATTTGTTATTGATACCATAACGCAATTTTAGTGGTGAGATTATCCTTTAAAGAGAGGAAAGGATTTTCTTTTTCCTAGAGATTATTTCACCAAGAATGGTGAAAAATATAAAAAAAAGTTTAAACAAATATTGTATTTTTTTTATATTTACAAAACTATGTATAAATAATTTTTGAGAAATCTAGGTTTTTCAAGTTACTCCTATGACTGACCTTTAAGCTTGAGTTTTTATATTTTATATTTTGATGATGTATTTTTGCATGTGTATAAATAAGTTGTATTGTATATAGTTATAAATAAATCAAATTTTCTGTTATCGAATTTGAAATATATTTTAGCAATTTTTATCAATAAGTTGGTTTCATTAAACAATGTTTAAACATTCTCTTTTTGTACATGCCTTATTATTTAACTCTACGTTAAAAGAGGTACATTAATAAAAAAAAAAAAAGAGAAATAGATATATCGAAAATCGCAATTTTAAATTGGTACGATGATATTATTTTTCATAAGAATATTTAAAACAAAAATATCCGTCATAGGCTTAGTTGAGCACATTAATAGCAACACGTTTAAAAGTTCATTGCGTTTATTACATAGGGTGTCCCACGGTAATTGCCGTTTGATTTAACTACTAAATAGCAGACGATAAAACAAAAATGTAAAGACACATCATAATTTTTTAATGTAAAATATCACTGTGACAAAGAAAATTATTTACCTTTAATTTCTCAAAGTTATTCCAAGGTCTTATTAGTATAAGGTCATCGAGGTCGTAAAAATAAACATGTTTTGAAACAAAGAATCTATGTGTAATACGTAATAACAAAATAAAAATATCGCATTTCATTTAAAAAATATAAAATGACCTTGGAATAACCTTGAAAAATTAAAGATAAACAATTTTTTTGAATTAAAAAGTATTTTTACATTCTTGTTCTAACACCTACCAGTGGTTAAATTAAACGGCACTTACTGTTGGGTACCCTATGTAACAAGGGGACAGTTGGTTTCGATGTTAATCTTTGCGTGTTCAGTGGTTATCTCGTTATTGGTTGATTTTGAAATTGTAGGACGATGAGCTTGAAATCTCTTTTGTTATAATTGGTTACTATAATTGGTTACGATTATAGGCGTGTTATGGAATATTTGATGGTGGTTTATCTATCAAGTATCTATCCTGTCTGTGTAGGTGTAGAAAGGTCGGAATGAGGACCTCTGACACGAGTACTTTCGCAAGCGTTTGCTGCCAAGTCTGGCATTGCTGTTCTGATACCTGACTATCGTGTGGCAATCTTCGTGTTTCAATAGAAACTGGCATATTCTTTTTTGTATAATCAAAGACACTTTCCATTTTATTTTCTCACAACTGTTACGAACAGCACTGAAATGTATCGATGAACGGATTTCAGTATTTATTTTACTGACACATAAAGATCTGTACTCCTCTGATTTTCTAAAATCATTTCTATTTTCTTTATTTGATATCTTGTTTCCATAAATCTCTCTGCAAATAAAACGATATAGCCTTGTCATAGTACAATTTGATTCCTTGATTACTTGATTCCTGCT